TTTTGACACTTATTTAAACATATAAATAAAATGATAATTTATAATAAACAACATACACCTGAGCTACACACTCAAAACAGGTTGCTATATATTTATTTCAGAAGTGACAGGTTAATAAGATACTGCACTAAGATTTCAACTTCACCTTTCAACTCTAAATCTTTATTAGAAATAAAAGCAAAATCTTAACAATTCTTGATTTGTCTTCAAGCGCTCATAACGCCATAAGTACAAACTGAGTCATCACATCAACACAAAATTTTAAAAATATTCACCTAGGGCTCATTATGTATAAATGAGCTAAACCTTCCATACCTATAGACCTCCTCTACTCGGAAAAGCTGGCGATAACACACCACACTCAAACATCACCACAAGACACCACCACAAGACAACGGTTTACCCAACTAACAAAACGATGGCTCCCTCAACTCCTTCACTTCATTCGACAAAATAGAGTTGCGAACTCTCTTCTCGTTTGGACCACTATCTGAGCTAGCTCTGGTCGCATTGCTCCGCTCGCATTTACTTATCTCGTTCAGCCGAATGAGAATCCGGACATTGGCGTATTTAAATGACACATCGCTTGTCACCATACAATATTTTTAATTTTAACAATAATATATTATTATAGAATAAAGTCTCCTTTAATTCGTATCCGAGATCAATCGCATTTTTACTTACCTACATATTATAATATATAACGCGAGTGTAAGTGAACTATCAACAATTCAAATTCAGTGGTGGTGTTTCCACTAAATTGGTCACCAAAATATTCAGAAACGAAGCAATATAAAAGTATTCTGAGGACGATATGGTGTTAACGTTGAAGAAGCTCGGATCGAGATTTCTTATCGATCGCTATCGAATGTATGTATATAGATGTGGCGTTCAGGACCGTTGACGAAATGAAATGTGTTGTAGCACGTCCGATTGCTGAGTAAACGAATTTCGTGTCGACCCAATCATCACATCCCTTTTTTAATTTATGTGAGGGTGAAATTGAGCGCAGTGTTCCCAGGTTGGTATGTACGACATAATAGGTGCGCCAGTTTCTCTCAGTTAAGTTGTGTGTGTAAGTGTACTGAGGCTTAGCTCATTTCATCAACAATCAAAACAATAAATTTTATACATTGAGTTGATGTGAAAACACCAATCTTTGAAGATAATTCACACACCGACCGATATATGGTCCATACAGTCTGCTATAATAACGAAAATCATTATATGGTATATGAATTGCGGTAATTTAGGCATTTTCGGCACTAAATTATAGTACATAGTATGCCAGTGTTATTGAGGTCTGTTCAAAAATGGAGAATGGTAACTTTCTCAAAATATTTATATATTCATCAATTTCTAGTTTCTGCCAGCGTTTTTGCAATCCTCGATCCACTATGCACTTTTGGTATGCCTTGAATTGAAACCAGATATACAAAACACGTGTAAGTATACCAATCACAAATAAAATAAATATGATATATAGCTGAAACTGTGAATATATGTTAGAGAAAGTGGACCAACAAAAAAATAAAAATCGAGAATCAGATACGTAGATCGCGAAATTCAAAAGTCATCTTATTTTTAACAGGCCTCGTATGTTCCCTTAATTTCATTAAGATATCTTGATATTGCTGATATAGAGGCAATCTAATCTCTTTATTGGGTATATTAGAGCTAGGTTTAGTATTGCCCCGGTTTTATCATTAGTTGGTCTCATGACATACCATTATTAGAAACGGATTCTCACAAATTTTCAATGAAGTACCTCACATCTCCAATTTATAAGTCATAAAAACAACCGGTTGTTTGAAAATACTTTTATTAGGCCATTTCTGGCACATGGATACACAGTTGTTAGGAAGAGATTTTCTCCGAATTTTATTAAGATATCTTATATATTGACCGATAAAGTTCTAAAATCTTTATATTACGTATATAGGGACAAGGGGAAATATTAACCCTCTGCCGTGGTCCGTGTATTCGATATTTCGACAATTTTTAGATGCCAGATGAAATATCTAAAAGACTCTATTTTTTACCTCTTTCAATAGTTGTATGAGTTATAACTGGACACTGTCCGATTGGGACTCATGCGATAAACTTGAACATCTTACGGGATGCTCCGTCCTTATTTAGGTGAAATCACAAACCTCCGAAACTACTGGATTAATTTCAACCAAATTCGGTAAGTGACATTCCTCCAATATTCTTATATTACAGTGACCAGTATACAAATCAAGAAGAAATAAATGTAACGGGAACAAAACTTTGCACGAATAGTGCCCTTGCAGTGCTCTTCCTTATGATTAAAAATTATCTAAATCGAACCAAAACTGTTCAAGCCCCTAGGTACCGAATGTGTTGACCCCAGTGCCCATAGTTAACTTTTTACCGTATATATCGGTCAATGTGTGAGATAAATAATTGAAATGCGGAGGGAATCCTTTTATGACAATAGTAAGTCTGAGTGGAAAAAAATGGGCTGGATCGGGTCATTACTTCCCTTAGCCCCCATATACCTAATATAAATAATTTGGAACTTCCAGTTTACTTCAAACCGCATACTAGCCTTCATATAACTAATCACAAAATTTTCAAACTTCCGATTGATTTTACTCCATATATGTTGGCGATGATATGTGAGGTACTTTAATGAAACTCAGGGAGCAAGTTATCCTGTTAATAGTATGTTGTATTGCCAAAAATAGATAAATGCGGGTCAATACTACCACTGTCTCCTACAAAACTTAAAATAATATAATATATAATATATCAGTTAATAAGTTAATAAGTTAGATATCTAAGCAAAATTAACTGAACGTATAAGTATAGTCAAACTTACAATAAAGAATACATTGCTAAATGCCGAAAATACGTAAATTTAGTCTATGGTACGAATTACTCCATCTCTCAAATACTATTTACATATGTATATTGATTTTCGTTATTCTAACAAATCTTATGCCGAACATGTCGTTCAATGTATGAGTTATCTATATATAAAATTGCTTAAAAATATGATCTCACGTATATCTCAGCAATGTCAAAAGTAACTCAATCGGCCCATCCCTTTCTCTGACCCCAATAAAGACTGTATATTAATTTCCGACTTTCCACCTGACAAAATGTGTGATACTTTAATATTATATATAATGTGGGAGTATGAATGAAATTGGTCTAGACTTTGGCCCAAACCTTGTATCCATTAAATAATAAATTGCGATCCTCTGGTTGGCGTTCTAATATGAACTTATTATATTCAATTAGCTTCTTCAGTTGAGTTTATATCCCATTTGAAGTTGATTTTATTACAATTTTAGTTAACGGGATGTAAAATATAGTAATAAAACTAAGCAGGCAGGGTCTGTGACCTATCATATAACTTAATAAAATACTAAATTTGATTGTATTTAGCCTTAGTTGGCAATCATCACGAGCATACATATGTGTGTACATACATATGTTTAGACCAATGATGACAACTTGCATGCAACCGCAGCCAACATTAATTATTCGACGAAATCGTGCATGGATAACAATCAAAAGATTTTGTGCTGATTTAGTTTAATTAATATAATCGTATATACTATAATCGCGTCTACGAAAATTATATAAAAATCATCCTTAAACGAAAAATATGTGATATAAACTCAACCGAAGAGTATAAATGTAATAGATATATTGAGTTGATGTGGAAACGTCAACCAGAGTCTTGAAATTCTTTATATTAGGGATATAAGGCTTAGACCAATATGTAGACCAATTCCCATTCATAATCACATAATTTTCAAGAACTTGTTTATTTAATTTAATTGAAATATCACACATTTTGACCAACCTGTACGGTATAAAGTCAGGTGGAAAATCGGATATCATTATACATATATGTCATATTTAATGGGGGACTGTCTGATTTCATTTAATTGAACATTGCTCAGGTATATTTTAGAACATATTTTCAACCAATTTTATTAATATATAATTCATAGACTGAACGACATATTCGTCGCAAGGCTTGTTGGAGAAACGAAAATTATATTATGAAGTATATGGGAGTGGGGGTAATTCGTATATACCTATGGTATAAGGCCAACCGGAAGTTTTAAATTGTATATAAGGTATATGGGGTGTAATGTATGTATTGACCCTCTGTTATCTAGTTTTGGCAATACTACATACTATAAACATGCCACGTACCAATAATATGCTCCCTGAGTTTCAGTAAGGTACACTTACCCTCACCAATACATGTACGATATATGGAATGTACGAAAAATTATTGAAATTGCTATATTAGTTATACGGGCGCTGGAACAAGTTTTCTCCCGAGTTTACCTATTTTAAGCAGAAATATACATTGTTATCAGCAAAATACGCTCTCTCGTTTCCATTAACATGGGGTACAAGTAAGCTACAAGTTTGAAAATCATTGTATTAAGTATGTCGCGGCTAAGAGAAGCCTATTCAACTCATTTTTGACATACAGGCATACCATTATCAGGAAAGGACTTGCTCCGAATTTAATATTATATCCCACAGATAGACCGGTATTTTCGATAAAGTGTTCACTGTAGGAACTGAGGTCCACATATTGGGATCTGGGGCTTGAACAGATAAAATTTGATTCGAACAACTTTTGATCATAGGGTGTTCTACTTTAAGCATACCACTCAGGCAAAGTTTTATCTAGATACATTCATTGATGCTTGGTTTGCTTAATGGAAAGTGAAAGAATTCAATGGATTTTAAAATTGTGTTATAAGGGAAGTAGGCGTGGTTGTAATCCGATTTTTCCTTTTTCGCACTGGAACACCGGCATTGGCTCCTATAAAGTCCTCCTGTACCATCTCGGTTGGAAAATTTAATATCTCTGGAGTAGTTATTTATTGATTTATTACGCTTTTAGTATTTTTTAGATTTGGTTGTTCTTCTTAACTGATTTAGGAGATATGTGCATAAAACCTCTTAGAGATAGGGGCCACGCCCATTTTTCTTACCTTTTAGCCCGCAAGTGCATCTTGGTATGTGATCCTTTGTGCCAAATTACAGTTTTATATCTGAATTTAGTGCTTAGTTATGACATTTTATAAATTGTCATTTAAAATAGTTTGGTACGCTTGGCAGTGGTCCGACTACGCCCAACTACTAACTCGTTTTACTCAAGTTACAGCTCACATAGCCAGAATGACAGACAAATATCCCGATTTCAACTCGTCTCGTCTTCTGGATCATTTATACATCCACAGCCCTATATACATCTCGATTAGGTGATAAAAGAAACCGGTAGGTAAATAAAACTAGTATACTCTGTAGCAACATGTTGCAAAAATATAAATATGTACAGTGGATCACAGCTTATTTGATACAGCAGTCGATATAAATTTCGAATCCTAATATTTTCTAAATTGAAAGGAATATTGAAAAAATTTAAACGCTATATTATAGAGTAAAGAATTTCATATATATAATCTACTTCATTTATTTCAAAAATATTTTATTTTCAAATATATGTATATAAAATTAGAATTACTGCTTAATTTCAGGTCACAGCTTATTTGATAGAGTTCAATTCATTCTAAAATAACATAAACAAATCACTTTCCATCTTAAATTTTAATATTTTGTGTGAAAGCCTTTCGCCTTAACAAGAGCCTGGATCCTGGTTGGCATTGATTGGACTAACTTTTGTGTGGTTTCTGGGGTAATTTTCTGCCATTCCTCTAGTAGCGCCTTTTTCAATTCCTCTTTGTTCGAAATTTTGTGGCTTCGAAGGTTTTTGTCTAATAATGCCCACAAATTTTCAATAACATTCATATCAGGTGACTGTGCCGGGGGTGTCATCAAATGGGGACAGTTCCATATGAGCCAGGATTGAGCGACTGCTGCTTTGTGTTTTGGGTCGTTATCTTGATAAAAGCGGAATTTTTCTTTTATATCAAGATTCTCGGCACTTTGCAGCAAATTCCTTCTTAGGATATTAAGATACATATTTTTGTCCATTGTCCCTTCAATAAACTCCACATTTCCTACACCGGCTGCGGACATACAACCCCAGACCATCACAGTTCCACCGCCATGTTTCACCGTAGCTCTCAAGTTCTCCTTATTTAGCTCTCTATTCTTTTTTCGCCAAGCGTAAGACATGCTGTCGGACCCAAAAATATTGAATTTTGACCCGTCTGAAAATATAACCGTGTTCCAAAAATCATGGGTCTTACAAACATGTTCCCGAGCGAACTTTAGTCGACATAATTCTTTTCTTTTTTTTTTTACTAATTACTCGGCCATTAAAATCATGTTCGCGGAGTACGCGGCGGATAGTTTCAGCATGCATGTTTTTCCTAATTCTTGCTGAACATCTACAACCAATTTTGGAGCCGATAGTTTGGGGTTTACCTTGATTTTTCGAACAATATAGCGCTCGTCGGTAGCACTAAAAATTTTGTTTGGCGCGCTTCTGCCTTTATTTTCCAATCGATTTTCATGTAAATATCGCTCAATGATGTGATGTACAGTGGAGGCACTAAGGTTCACAATTTCACCAATTTTTCGAACCGATTTACAATTTTTAAAATGGTTTATGACCAGTTCACGCTGCTCAATTGTTGTTACTAGAGGAATGGCAGAAAATTACCCCAGAAACCACACAAAAGTTGGTCCAATCAATGCCAACCAGGATCCAGGCTCTTGTTAAGGCGAAAGGCTTCCACACAAAATATTAAAATTTAAGATGGAAAGTGATTTGTTTATGTTATTTTAGAATGAATTGAACTGTATCAAATAAGCTGTGACCTGAAATTAAGCAGTAATTTTAATTTTATATACATATATTTGAAAATGAAATATTTTTGAAATAAATGAAGTAGATTATATATATGAAATTCTTTACTCTATAATATAGCGTTTAAATTTTTCCAATATTCCTTTCAGTTTAGAAAATATTAGGATTCGAAATTTATATCGACTGCTGTATCAAATAAGCTGTGACCCACTGTATATATATGTGCTATAATTAATGGATGCCATCTTAAATGATAAAATTCTTAACTCGTATGCTTTTTTTTAATTTTAATGTTCTTATGACTTTTCGCATGAAATATTTAAACGCATAGAAATCTGGGCCCTGTTCATAATTTTCACTGTCACTACTTTTTCGGATCTTAATTTTGGCATTTCTTATTCTACATTCCATGTTTTCTTTTTCCAGTGTCTCAAAGTTACTGGTACGCAATAAATTCGTTAAATTTTCTTTATTATACAGTTCATATCATTACAGACATCTACATATTAAATAAATGTCTTGATCGTTCTCATTTTAAACTGATTTCAGTATTTATTAAAATGTCTATAGTTTTATGATCAGATATTTTGCACTCAGCCATATTTTTAAACTAACGTCATTGGAATAGCATAAAAAAGATCGATTTTCGAAGTGTTGTTTCTGAATATTAACAACATATTAACAAAACATTTTTGACTCGCAGCTATAGTATCATTTATCCAAATATAAGTATCATTTAGTTTTTTACTGTAGGTATTGGTTTTATTACAATACACTCTCGCTACATGTTGCTATAGAGTATAATTGTTTTGTTCACCAAACGGTTGTTGTATCCCTAAAACTAATCGAGTTAGATATAGGGTTATATACAAGTAATATATATATTGATCCTGATGAAGAGGCGAGTAGAAGTCCGTGTGACTGTCTCTCCATCCGACCGTCCGTCTGTGCATGCTGTTACTTAAGTAAAAATTGAAATATCTTTATGAAACTTGTTTACTACCTACTTAACACCGTAAGACGGTGGGTATTGCAGATGGGCGTAATCGGATCACTGCCATGCCCACAAAACGCCATTAATCAAAAACAAATAAATTGCCATTACTAGTCTAACAATAAGATACAAGACTGTTATTTGGTATACAGGATCGCAGTAGTCAGGAACATCTGCAGATAAATTTTTTTTTAAAAAGTAGTCGTGGTCCCGCCCCCTAAAAGGATTAATGTGCATATCTCCTAAGCCGCTAAGCTATAATAACAAAATTCACTGAGAACAAATGCTTTTAGCACCTCTATTGACAGTATGAAGATGGGTAAAATCGGGTGACAACAGCGACCACTCCCCATATAACGGTGCTGTTAAACACTACAAAAATCGCGATAAATCAAGGTTTACACGAGCCAGGGACATTAAATTTTATCTCTGAGCTGGTATAAGATGACTTTATGGGGTACGCGTTCAAAACTAGACAGTTCGCGTGGCGCCGCCCACTTTGAGGTGAAAACCCATATCTTGGGATATTCTTAACCAATTTCAGCCAAATTCTGTACATAACCTTTAAACGCCACTATGTGACAAAAAATTGTCTAAATCGTTCAAGCCCCTAGGCACTGAATATGTGGACCCCAGTGCCTATAGTTGACTTTTTACCGAAAATATCGGTCAAGGTGGAAGATATATAATTTAGATTTTAGTATATGAGCATATATAAATAAATAAAACTCTCGATAATAGTATGTCTTTGTGTCAAAAATGGGGTGAATCGGATCATTACTAGGGGGTTTCGCGGCTTCAAAAAATTGTTATAGTCTTGTTTAATTCTATAAGATCTCTAGAATATTATCCCAAATTCTCAAGTTGATAACAGTAATAGTTTTGGAGATACAGCTTTGAAAAATTGCATGCTCGAGGTCAGCTATATGGCCACTTAAAACATTATACTACGTTCGCACCGACACAAAATTCGTGTTTTCATAGACAAAAGAGGTTTTCACGCGAAAACTTGTGTTTTCATCCATCCAAAATCTAACAAACGAAAACACAGTTTACGCTGAAAACCCCTTGAAAACTTACATTCCACTCATTATAATCGGTGCCTGCTCTAGTTTAATCGATATTATTAGAAGACATATTTCGCCAGCCCTAAATGGCAGTTGACAATTTGTTTACGTTCCATAATTGGCCTAAACGTACCCTACAAGAAACTGCTGATGGGTTCCCCAATATACTCACATTTGATATGTCAGTACTGTTAATTTACATTTGCATTTTTAAATTCAGAACTGTCCACTGATTAGAGAAAGACGTACACAGAGCTATTGAGAGAAATGCTGGCAGCAAGTGAAAATTTATTTTTATATATAATATTCATATATTATTATATTTTTTGTTGCATTCCTTTTTATATTTAAGTACATTATTATAACTAATTTTGATTAAAAGTTTGCAATTTATTAAAGAAATAAAAATTATATTATCTACTGCGCAAAGTAATTTTTCACTTCTGATAGCGTTTCAGTCATAACTGACAATTTTCAGCTATGACGGATTTATGGTCAGCAATGACTCAGAAAAAACAAAACAAACAAACAAAAAGAAAACAAGGCTCTTAAGAAAATGACAAAATTGCGCTGACAAAATTTTTTCAGCTATGACTGTCATATTATCCATCAGATGACCATCACTGTTCTTGTAGGGTACGTAACAAATGTAAACAAATAGATGTGTGAACTGTCAATGGAAACTCATCGAAAACACACAATGTTGGTCAGAACGACTTTGGTTCCACAATCCACAAATTGTGTTTTCAAGAGGATTTCAATTCGGTGCGAAGATTTCTCGCGAACTACTCAACCGATCTTGATGAAAGAAAGGTGTTTGAGAACAATTTACTCGTAAATGGAAAAAGGATGTTTTTTTTTCAATTGCAACTATTTCAAAAAAAAGAAATGTCGAGCAAATTTGACCGAAATTTTCATTGTTTTGAAAAAAGGTCTGCCAAAATTCCAATTTCAACTTTTTATTTTTTTCCTTCATTCAAGTACGAGTTTATGGTCTTAACTAAAACACATATTTTTTTTTAATTTTAAATGTTCCTGTCAGGAGTTATGCTGACAACGCGGACGCACCTTTTTTCGAGAGGTCGCCGGAAATGACTTTACAATGGGAGAGTTTTAATTTTGTTTTTTTGAAAATCTCAGAACTTATTATTTAAATGTGTATCTTTAAGACAGAAAAAGGTTTGAATGATGATGAATTGACAATAGGCCTTTTTTTACTCGACTAAACATTAATTTAAAATTTTGCCGACACCAGAAGTAATTTTTTGGGCTTTGATCCTTGAGTATAAAATGTTCAGTTACACCCGAACTTAGAACTTCCCTACTTGTTAATATCGATGTTGAAATATTCAACCAAGAAGCTGTTCACGTTGATTTTGAATTTATTGGTCACATTGTTGTTCAGAT